ATGGCAGTAAAAACGTTAAAAGCCGATTGGGTCATTCGGTAACTGAAGGATTAGTACGTTAGTTTAGTTTGAAGTTTTATGTATTCATGATAATTTACTCCAACTTATGCATGTTTCCTTCATAGCTGCTTGTGAAGTATTTTTATGCGTATAAATGTATTCAAAGCATTTTTCCTTCTACTTATACGTGTTTATAAAGGTTACTCACGTGTATATATATGTACGTGAATGTTTTTACATGTCTGGGCTGGTGCTTTTTTTCTTCTCTTTTGACTTATGTTTTGGAAGTTGTAATCTTAAATACAGTGAAATGATATACAGAACTATAAGTTTCACACAAGACTACCTATACAGTAACAACACAAACCACTTATTACTGTAATGTTAAGTATGTTGTATTTTCTTCACAGACTTTGGAACTCGACCTCCGCGCTTCCAGTTAGCGTCATCTGCCGACGTGATGGTTGATTAGTAGTTTCGATTTGAAGTCACGTGATTTCCAAGACTGCCTACGTAGTTCCTGGTAGCCTCAACTTCACTAAGTAACTTCACGTCATAATTAAGTGACGTCATTTTCAACCAATAAGAAATGGACAAAATGACATCACCGTCCTAATTTTAGAATCCTGAGTCAGAAGTATAAGACGGGCCGTGCTGAGAAGTAGTTATGTTAGATGGTTGCAAGTACAGTAGATCGACCGCTCTATTGTGCAGTAAAGATCCTCCTGCGTACCTGTTCGAGCTCAGTTACACTTTGGTCGAGGTAGAGTGAACAGTACTGCTCTTCACGGCGTAACTCGCGACGTCAACATTTGAAGCTAGAATGGAAACTACGTTTTATGAAAACAATCTCACAAGACCTAGCGAGGATGTCGGGGCGCTAAAGCGTCCCATGACTCTCGACTTGGATCAGTCCAAGCCGAGTAAGAAACAAAAAATGACAATGTTGCTAACATCACCAGACCTTAACATGCTGAAATTGGGATCACCAGAACTGGAACGATTAATCATCTCTCACAATGGACTGGTGACAACCACCCCAACTCCAACCCAGTATCTTTTCCCCCGGAACGTCACAGAGGAACAAGAACAATATGCTCGCGGTTTTGTTGATGCTTTGAACCAGCTTCACCAAGCCACGGCGCCCAGTGCCGGCAGCATAGTCCCTCAACCCGTCGTAGCTACAACCGAGAAAACTGCCGTGTCCAGCAGTGGCACGTGGACTGAGCTACCCAGCCAGCCACTCGTTACGAGTGGGCTCGTGAAGGATGAGCCCCAAACTGTACCCAATCTTGGTCAGTCACCGCCAATGTCTCCCATTGATATGGAAGACCAAGAGAGAATCAAGCTGGAAAGGAAACGGTTGAGAAATCGTATAGCAGCGAGCAAATGTCGTCGCCGAAAACTGGAGCGTATCGCCCGCCTGGAGGAGAAAGTTGCTCAAATGAAGACCGAAAACAGTGAGTTAGGGTCCGTAGTAACCAAACTTCGAGATCAAGTGTGCTCCTTAAAGCAGCAGATAATGGAGCACGTGAAAAGCGGTTGCCAGATAATGGTATCTAACCACGATTTCTAGAGTTGTGGACAGTGACATAAGTGAAATCTGTGATAAGTAATTTAAACCTCCTATTCTTCCCCTTGGGGGAAGAGGGCTAAGTATTATAGACCTAGGTATTGAACCAGTTGGCTGAGTTACTAATACTAAACAGCTATGACGAGTGAACAACAATGAGTAGTCGAGAATGAGAGTACAGCCTATGCAACATTCGTTAATATTAAACAAGATCCTAGTTAGAGCGTAGACAGTTTGATTTATCGTTGGTAAATGTCTAAAAGCTTTGTATTTGATCTGTTCCCGAGTTTTATTTGTTCGACTACTAAGTGTTTGAGCATGTTTTCCTTTATTTATAGATTGATCGTTTATTTTAAAATGAGAACTAAATCATAAAATGATTTGCTGTTTTTAAACTATTCAAATCAGCTTGATATAAAATTGCATTATGCTCTTGTAAAGCTTGAGAACTGTGTTTGTTAAATATGTATTTTGATTATTCGTTAAGAAAAAAACATACGTGAAGTTTCAATGTATGTGCTGCTTTAACTGCATAGTAAATCTATAAGCAATACCTGACAACAAAAAATGTTTTTTGATGAATCTTATTTTTATATTGTTTTAGTTGGTAAAGCGAGCTCAAGATTGTACTGGTTATGATGTTTCTGTACAAAAGATGTATATGTAACTGTACTTATAAGTTATGAATTTAGTTTCTTTTTTAAAGATGCAAAAATTCACTAGTTCATTTTGTAAGAAAATAAAGCAGAAGCAATTAAACCAAAAGAATAAAACGTTGGTTATTGCTCTTTCTTATTCGGTGGTCATTCAAAACTTGTAAATAACATTATTAAACTTTTTTTTTTATTGCAAAGAAATAAAAACAGTTGTTTCTTCTGTTTTATTCGTGTTCCAGTGACATAGACGCACCCCGAGTCTTGTTGTGTTTTAACCCACATGTCCTTTCACACAGTGCTGCCGATGCAGCTGTGAAGAAGCACGTGATGACAAACTACGACAGCTTGCGTTCTCTTGTTGGAATGTTTTTAATACGAAAACCATGGTGCCGAACTACTAACAAAAAGTGATACTTCAAATTTTGAGGCCTACAAAATTTTTCTGAAGAGTTTATTTTCCTGAAATCTTAAAACTATCGCTCACAATGTGGTGTTTTGATCTTTGAAAAGCAATGTAACAAACCACTAAAGTAAATAGAGACGTAATAAGTATCCCCCTCCCCTCGTTTGTTTTTGTTGTACTGATATAAAACAACATAAATAGAGACGTAATAAGTATCCCCTCGTTTTTGTTGTACTGATATAAAACAGCACAAATAGAGACGTAATAAGTATCCCCTCCC